AAAAAAAAAAAAGAGAGAGAGAGAAAATAAAAATAAAAAGACAATACTAGCTTTGAAGCACATAAAGAGAAGTATAGTCTCCAGGAACAGCGAGAGGAACTGCTGTACTCCTGGCATTCTGAGCACCATATTGGCTTCATAAGTTACCAAGGAGAGACACTGAAAGACTCTAGCACCTCCAGAGATGGACCCCAGGATGGTGAAGGCTCATCACAGCTGTCCTACTGTGAATGCCTAACTAAGAACAGTTTTTGCTGTCCTGTCTCAACACAGTAATCAGGGAGGAGGTAGGAAGGGTGGTGTATCTCAATACATAAGAAGGCCCCAGAGGACTGAAAGTCTCCAGGGGAGGATTGCATAATCCTCCTCCACCTCCCTCAACAGGAATCACTAAGTAGCTGCAGTGAAATCATTTTTTTTTTTTTTTTTTTGAGATGGAGTCTCGCTCTGTCGCCCAGGCTGGAGTGCAATGACACAATTTTGGCTCACTGCAACTTCCACCTCTTGGGTTCAAGCAATTCTCCTACCTCAGCCTCCTGAGCAGCTGGGATTACAGGTGTGTACCACCACGCTGGCTAATTTTTGTATTTTTTGGTGGAGACAAGGTTTCACCATGTTGACCAGGCTGGTCTTAAACTCCTGACCTCACGTGGTCTGCCCACCTTGGCCTCCCAGAGGGCTGAGATTACAGGTGTGAGCCACTGTGCCTGGCCTGCTATGAAATATTTAATGGCACATCCTGTGAAAAAGGAACTAACCTTTCTTTGAGGGGGATCAGAGAATAGACCTGAGTCAGGTGGATTAAAGTTACAGAAAAGTGAAAGTCATACAAGTGTACATACATATAGGTGTACACATACATGTGAATTCTCTGACCATGAGGAAATAGAATTTATAAGAAAAAGCCAAAAAAGGGCTGGGTGCCGTGGCTCACACGTGTAATTCCAGCACTTTGGGAGGCCGAGGCAGGTGGATCACGAGGTTAGGTGTTTGAGACCAGCCTGGCCAACATAGTGAAACCCTGTCTCTATGAAAAATATAAAAAATTAGCCAGGTGTGGTGGCAGGCACCTGTAGTCCCAGCTACTTGGGAAGCTGAGGCAGGAGAATCGCTTGAACCTCGGAGTTGGAGGTTGCAGAGAGCCGAGATTACTCCACTGCATTCCAGCCCGGGCAAAAAAAA